AACATGTGGATGAGCATTATCATGCAAGAGAATAACTTTGCCATTTCTGAAGTAGTAGTGGCTGCATTTTTCTTCAGTGTTAGGCTCAGTCTCATCAGTTGTGTTCAGTAGAGAGCCACAATAATGGTTTTGTTCAATTTGAGCTACTCATAACACGATACCAAGTTGATCCCACCATATATGCAGCATCATTTTCCCCCACGAATATTCAGTGTGGCATTGTTGAAGCATGGCCAAGTGATCTCTGATTTCTTTTTCTTTGGGTTATCACATTGTATCCATTTTTCATCAGCAGTGACTATGCGATGCAAAAAGCGTTTTGTTTATGCATGACAAGCAGCATTTCACATGTAAAAAATTGGCAGTCAGTCAATGATTCTCTGCTTCAGTTGATATGGAACCCAGTTTTCTTGCTCTTGAATCATTCCTAATGATTTTAGACGATGTGAAATTGCTTCTCAAGTCACTCCTAATGTAATTGCAAGTTCTACTTGCGTTTGGCGTGAATCTTCATGTAATAATTTTTCCAATTCCACATCTCCAAGCACTTTCATCCTTCCACTGTGTTCTTTGTCTTCAACATCAAATTCACCATTCTTAAGCTTTCGAAACCACTTATGATAACTTCTGTCACTTAAGACAGCCTCACCATATGCTTCTATAAGCAATCGATGCACTTCAGCTGCATATTTCTTCAAATTGAAGAAGTAAATCAGAAGCTCCCCCAAATAACACTCATTCGGCTCTACATTTTTGCAAGGAAAAAATGTATGATGCTGATATAAAATCACTAATATTTCAAGGTTATGTTGTTAGCAGAAGTCCAACCATACAATATGACATTTTACATTGGACAATTATAACCATAATGTACTGGTGGCATCATTTTTTGTCAAACGGCAAAGACAAATTTGTACTCCCAATATTTTATTTAAGTACAAATATTTTGTTCTTCAATTTATATATGGTCCTTTAACGTGAAGTCAAATTTTCATATTCATATCTCGAACAGTTTTTTTTTTTCATTTGAGAATGACATTTTTTATATTGTTATAAAAAGTTGGATTTCATAATTTTTACGATTTGTTTTACATTTGCAAATGCCAAAAATTTATTGGCTATTTAAGAAATTTTTTGTAACTGGAAATATATGTATGTCGCCAAGAGTTTAAAAAAAAAATTGCTCAGTGAGGTTTTTTATGAGCGCAGTATATAGTTATTTTCTTCCCTGGTGCACTAAAATTTATTTCATTTTAAAAGCTGCTTTAAAACTCTGGTATTTCTAAATTTATTATCAAAATATTTTCTAATCAAAGTTTTGTATTCAAACCATGGTAGAAGCCATTTCAAACTAGGGAATTTGTACATGGAAACTTCATGAATAATGGAAGCTTGCAGAATAAATTACAAATTTATGAAGCAGAAATGAAAATGTCAAAATCTGTCAAAAAAGATTTGGTACTTTTCTATTTTGCCGGTGCAAGTGATAAAGTCATCAAAAATGGTACAACCGATGCCAAACGGTAACCTTTTACACCTTATTTTCACAACAAGTTGCAGCCATTTCTTATCAAATAGATTGTTTCTTTTTCAATACTGGCATAAAATTACATAGAATTTTTACCAGATAGTTCAATTTTATGCCCTAAGGCTATTCAGGGTAATTAAGGCAATTAGGATGCAATTGACTCACCCGAAGGCGAAAATATAGAAAAGGCAAAGTCAAGGGTTAAATTCATCAATTCTATGAGAATGCACTAGCGAATTAAAGCACTGCGGTTTTACATAATTTCTGAGTAAGCTAGCTATTCGTGCGAATTGAAATAATTCTTGCACTTAACATTGTGTTCCAAATTGAGATTTAACTTGAAATTAATGTAGATAATTACTCAGAGAATTAGATTTTTGTAGTGCAATCTAACGTGAGAGGAAATCACTTGGGGTCACGGGATATGAAACAACAAATCAGGATGCTGTATCCTGAAAGCATAGTAAATTCTTAAATTAATGTCTTTTTACAAATTTTTTGTCTTTTTACAGAATTTTAAACAATATTAAAATGCTTATGCTAAAAAAATAAAAATTTCTTAGAACTAACATTCGTTAACATTTTTTATGTGTGTACTGTGTGTTGTCGCCTATAAAATCTGCTTCGCGAGATTTGCGCCGGCGAAACGGAAAAGTAACAAAGATTTAAATTCAAAAGGAGATTCAAAATAAAAGAACAGAGACTTCTAAAGTGTTGTAACAAAATGAGTATGGTCCAGAAAAGTTTTAATTCATGAAAAATATGTAATTTTTTAAAAACAGAACTTTTTTTCTGTATTATTTCCTCCAAATGCTGTGTTTTCCAAATTTTGGTACACTTTGTGAAAAATTATGACATGTATATGCATGAAATTTTATTATAGCAAAAAATTAGTTATTATCCATTCCGTGAACCTGTTTTTTTAGTGTTTATGATAATTGTTAAATTGTAAATTGGGGTTGAAAATGGATGAAATAAAAATGAATAAAGTTTTTATTTTTTTTTAAATATATTTTTATTTAGAGTAATAAAAATTTAAATTGACTCACTAAAGAGTGGATTTCTTGGATTCTGACATAATTTCAGGGCAAACATTTTGTTAATTTTTGAGAAATGTGCACCTAAGTGTGTACAATTCTTTGCTTTTTCCCAGAAAAACTTAATGTAAATGCCTTTAATAGACTCCAATGCAGCTATTGCAACTGCGTTTGATAGACTGCAATGCAGCTGTTTCAACTGTTGAGAAATATTTTTTTATTCTGTGTATTACAAGAATGCTTTGTTTTTAAAATATTTTAATCATTTTATGAAATTAAAGCCTAGTATTAACTAAACAAAAGTTCAGTCCTAGCTTAATGTTTAGCAGAAGAGGGTATATTATTTCAGGACTCTTAATGTTTCTTGGGTTATTAATCCAATATATTTCAGCGTAATAATGTTTTTTTTTTTTTTTTTTTTGTGTGTGTGTGTGTGTGTGTGATGTCCTATTTTCAAAGGAATCAACTGCATTTGGGGAAAACTAGATGAATTCTAAGGAGAAGGGCAATTTTTAATTCATCATGATTATTCCATATATGTTACACCTATCTTTGAAGAGGAAGGATTTTTTTTCAGACTTTAGAAGGTTTCTTTCTCACTTACTATAAGAGTTCAAGCTACTGAAATAGGCTAACTATATGTGCTGTTTTGAGCAGAGCAGTACCATTTCGTGGCCATTTAGATAAAAATGATAAGTTAGACCATTTTTAAGAGGAGCTATAAGTGTACTTTTGTTTGGCAATCAGGATATAAAGAATTATAAAAACTGTCAGTTAAATAATGTATTGTGGAATAAAGATAATATTACTTTACCTGATAGTCAGATTTTGAATATTTACGAAATTTACAAAGTATTAATGTTGAAATGTTTCTGAAATGCTGAAAAAATATTTTCTATTTTGAATAGGATGTGTCCAAAAGAGAAATTTGGTTTAAATGCTGAGATAATAAAAATTATGCTAAAAGTATCTTGGAATATGAAAAATTTTATGCTTAGGTATAGAAGAGCAAACTATTATATAAAGTAACTTAAAAAAAATATCATTGTAGAGTTGTAAAATGTGATAATCTTAACATACTTGTTATAAAACATTTGTATCATTTTTCTTTGTTATCATTAATTCTAGGCCTGTTTGTGCAATTTTATTGTCCTTTGTTACACACAGAAATATGGTGAGCGTATACCAAAGAGAATTTTCTTATGTTATTAAGAATCACACTTTATTTTAATTAACTTATGGATACTCGAGCAATGGAAGCTGTGTGTAAAGGCTGAAAAATAAAGCTTAAAGTACTTACTGATAGAAATAGAAATATTTATCTTAAGGTAAACTTCAACCTATGCATGTGATTTAAATTTCAGTATACCTATATATTCTTTGTAAGCGTTTACTATGTATACCATCAAGCGATGTCAACAAATGCCTTTACTCAAAATCTGTGGGTGATAGCAAAAATATAAGTTCTTATGTATTATTGACATATAAACGTACACGAAGAATAAGCTTTGCTTATTCCGTAGGAGGAAAAAATATCAGTATTGTTCATGAAGAATATATCATAAAGAACACAACTTTTGAAATTTCTCTAGTGAATGCTACCTCAATATGTTAAGAGAGTTTTTGTGGTCTGAAGTGGATCATATGAATGCTGAAAAAATATGGTTTCAACAAGAGGGTGCAACCTATCACACATTGATTGCAACAATGGGCTCGTTATGAGAGAGGTTCCCTGGCCGAGTGATTTCTCGCAGTGGGACGTGAATTGGTCACTCAGATCTTGTGAGTTGACAACAGATGATTTCTCTCTATTTTCTCTTGGATATTTGAAATCTCGTGTGTATGCCAACAATGATCATTTCCAGAGCTTCAGTATATAATTTGAGAATTAGAGGTGTAAGTATGCGGATAAGTTATGGAAAATTTCATTAAAAGAATGAGAGTGTGCTTGCAGAGTTGTGGAGAGCATTTGAGTAATATGATATTTCATACATAATCACTGCTAAAATATGTAAACATGTAATTATTTAATATGCAAATTACTTAAATTTCATCGGTAAACTTGTATGTTATTATGCACTCGAATGTTGCATTCTGTATTGGATGCCCTTTATAAGGTGCAAAAAAAGTTTTGGGAAATTCCTTCAAAATGTTTCCAGCATGGGTTATTAACATTGATTTGAAAGCGAAATATTGTGACTTGTTACGTGTGTAAATTAAGCAACAGGGATTTACTTTAATATGGTATTGGATTTTGTCATTATATATGTTTTAAATCTCATTGTGTGTATAGTTTTTTTATATCAATATACAGAATAATATAGTTTTCTTTCAAGAAGTAATTGTAGGTATTTCTTTAAATATCACGTGATTTATAATAATTCAGACTACCACGTAATTTATATTTATTAAGCTGACTTGTGTTTATTTTCTAGATTTATGGATTTCATTCGGAAAACTTCTGAACCTGTTAAGAGCCAGCTAACAAATTTCCTGTATCCTGTGTTTGTTCATATATATCTTGCTTTGTTTAGGGATAATAAGCTTTCAGAAGGTTAGTTTCAATCTTTGATAAAGTGTATTAACTAGTAGATACTAATAAAATACTGTAATATTCATTTTGGATAGTTCCAAAAAATTCATTTCATTTAATGAAGAAAATGCATATCGTGACTACAAAAACGTTTTTATAAATTGATTAAAGAAGAATTTTTAGGAATTAAAATTTTCAAATCAGTAAAAAATTTATTATGAAAACATTCCTGGTTAGTTTGTCAAAGTAAATCTTTTCTTGTGAATCTTTTTAATAATAAAAATTAAGTACTCTTGCTAATTTTTTTTTTTTTTTTTTTTTTTGGTTTACAAAAAATGCAAAACTAAGTCTTAGATATTTATGAAAATTAATATGTAAATAAAGCAAATTTAACTCCAGAATAAACCTGGAATTCTATTAACATCCTGTTTCTTTACTGTAGTTTTATCCATGGGCCATTTATAACCTTGGGATGCTGTATAATGTATTACTTTTATTTCTGCAGAAATGCACCAGAAGAATATTCAGTTTACAGTAAACAATTCATACATAATTTCTTTTCTTCTAATTTGTATGTAGAAAACAGAATGCATGTCAAAATATTTACTCTAATCCCCAAAGATAATGGTAATTTGACCTTTTTTAGTAATATGCCAGTACAAAAATAAATTTAATATTTGGTAAAATTTGACAATTTTAAATAAAACTGCAGTTGCTTTTGAGAAACAAATTATGTAATCTCTCTGTGACATAAAGAAGTTGTTAACATGAACTATACATGGTGTTTATAAATTAGTGGTATAGTTTTAAAAATAAGTCTATGTTTTAATGTGTATGGGCTAACCTTATAGCATAAGCAGTGGCAATTGTCCAAGTTTTGATGCATTAATTACAATCCTTCAATATATGCACCTCTGGTCACATGATACACATCTACACGGTAACCAAATTCTTCCAATATTCGATGTAGCATGTCTGCAATGCATGCTTTATCTGAACACAAACTTCCTCAAGGGACACGGGCATTGGCAGTACATAAACTCGGTCTTTAGTTAACCCCAAAGAAAGAAATCGCATGGTATTAAATCTGACAAACAAGATGGCTAGGAGGGAAGGTTGTTATCTGTTGTTGCAAGTGCGTCCAACCCAGCATTCGTGAACAACATGATTAAGAAGCTCTCATACATTTCTGTGAAAATGGGGTGGAGCACTATCCAGTTGTAAAATATAATCATCTGAATTGGATGTTTAGCTAGGGTAATAACCAGGTTTCCAACATGTCTAGAAATGAGTCACTGATCACAGTTTCTTGTTTGAAGAAAAATGGGCCATGCTCTTTCTCATGGAACGCCGCACAAAAAACGTGCATGAAACTCGTGCTATGCTGAAGCCACAGATCTAGACACCTGAAAACGAAGAACACAGAAACCCTTTTCCTGTTGCAGTGCCATCTTGGAAGTGACACTACAGCAATGCAGTAAGCATGCAAATAGCAGATAGCACATGAGAAACTTGAACAGTTGCCAATGCTTATGGCATGCGTAGGTTTGGGTAAGGTAATACTTTGATTTATAATTCATTTTAAAATCAGACCATTCATTTTTAAACACCCTGTATTTCAATATCACTTATTGCTCTTACAAATTAATACAGTTCTTATAACAACCTGTTAAGCTATTACAGACTAAAGGAAGTATGTGGTTTACTTAGAAGTCTGCTTGAAATTACTGCTCTCACTTTTGGTAAAATGGACAGATGCTTGTGCTGTTTGGTCCCAAATTTCTCTTCCAACTTTTATTCAAATTCTTTCCCTATTAGAAAATTTAATAGCATATATAACTGAAGACTAAATCATTTTATTGTATTAATAATCATATTTAGTTTAATTTTATGTTTTTTAAATTGATTTATTTTAATCTGAGATTTTGTTTTTCAATGTTATAAGTGCCAACAAGTTGGCCTGAGTTATAAAAACTGTTATTAATTTTTAATTGTACCTAATTTTTTTATTAAAGGCCTTTTTGTGTTTAGTTTCTATTTTTATACACTTAATATATATTTTTTAATCTACATGAGCTAATTATGTAAGTCTTTTTATCAGAGATTTCTTTGCTTTGTTAATGTTAAAGCATTAAGAAAATTACATTGTTTTAGAAAATATCCTTTCTTTAAACTTAATCAAAATAATTTTGTTGTGTTTTTTTTTCTTTCTTTTAATTACATAATTTCGAGTTTTTTCATTAGTTGCCAAGTTGTATCAGCAAAGTTTGTTATTTGAACTTTAAAGAGTACCTGAATTCTTGTTGAATTTATAACAACCTATTTACTATTCACAGTCAAATTAAGAAAATTTTGAAATCTTATATTATATTTTAGCTTAAGGAACATGTTTGTGGAATTAATCAAAATTATGTGTATGTGAGATTTAACTTTTTATTAATATTTACAGCTAAAATTTTCCATGAAGCCTATAGTGACATTTTTTTAAGTGCAGAAGGCTACAATGATGTAATTAGTGACTTAATTAGCTTCAAAACAGTTAGTGATATCCTCAACCATCCTCACTTTAGTCTTTTTTGGTAAATATGTATTCTGTTTTTCCTTTTTCTAATCTATTGTTATGTTAAGCTTTGGTGATTATTCGCAAACATAGAATGTGTCTTTAAAGTGTCTTGTATTAAAAAATGAAACTTTTATCAAAGTTCATTTTAGTTATCTTTTCTTGCAACATCAGGCCTAAATTTAAACAAATGTGTGTGATTGAAAATGAGAGTATAACTTTATAAATCAAAAGTGTATTTTATAAAGTTATTTTAAAATTTAAGTATATATATAAAATGCTCCTCTTAAGTGTATTTTTTTAAAATTAAAATTCAGAGTCTCATCTGAAAAACAAATATGAAGTTTATTGAGATGATATGAAATCTTTATCCACAACGCTCTTTTCTGGAAAGGCAATGCTTCATCTGTAAAACTGGTGCATCTCCACAATATCTGCTTTTGGGGCACAACAGCTCACATGCAGTTGTCCAATAAATAATAGAGAACCTCAATTATTCAAGATATTTGGAAGCATAATCACCTCAGGTGCTCAAAACCTTGATTAGTACAGACTAAATTTAAATCATGCCAGGTTTTCTTTCAAGGTGATTTTCTGAAATTTTTCATTTACAATTCTAGAAATAAGTGCACAAGTACAACCATTTATACATACATTTTATTTCACTATAAAAATATTCATAAACTGGAATAAACAAATTTAACAAAATTTATGCAAATAGTAAAATTTTGTTAAATTTCTTACATGCAATTTTATAAGACAATTTCATTTGTAAAAGTTTTTTTTTTTTTTTTTTTTTTTTTTTTTTTTTTTTTTTTTAAGATGGTCCATATATCTCTATTAGCTACTACATGATTTTGTGAGTTTTTGATCAACAAGATCCATAAGAGAAGTATCAAGATGTTACTTTAAATATTAAAGAGCTTTGCTCAAGGCTTCAGTATCTATTAATGGATGGTAAATCGGAATGGTAAAACCACTGAATACTGGTGATTCGATCCAAAATCAGATCCCAGCAAATGTGGTGGCTGTATGGAAGTTAACTTGATTTTCCTCTATGTTGTGTATATGCAAGCCAATTTCACATAAATAGTCTTTCATGAAAGCATCCTTTTCCTTAATCAGAAAATTCTTTTGCACCTTGCCATCATCAGAACAAATCAAAATCAACACATGACTAATTTCCAGATTTTTCCTTTTCTTCAGCATTAGTGCAATTTTTATTTTCCTTCTGATCTGCTGCCCAGCCAGTATATAGGTTAGTGACACTGACTGCCATACTGGTGGGCCCAAGTTTGAAACTTGGAGAAGGCATTAATGTTTGTAAATTATAGTGTCTGATTTGAGTTAAAATAATATGCCAATTATTGGTCGTGTTAACTAGTCCTGCAAATTTATGAATATTATGCTGATTCTTGTTGCTTTAACTCCTCTAATAATTATAGTGTAATGCAGCAAGGGGGCATTTAAAATAAACAGTGAGCCAAAAGTCCTCTACAGAGGTTATTGATAGGATGGAGAGGGTTGGAGACCCTTCAATTGCTGCTTGGGATGCTCTCCCTGAAAACTGAGATGGAACTGCGTGGTTGGTGCAGTGGGACTATATGTTCGACTAATGGTGAACATCTGGTGTTCCACACTCTTCTACTTCAGACCTATGATGCAGATTATTCCTTCATCACTTAAGAATTTGGATTGTTGTTTTCTATATTTATCCATTCCAAAGGGTTATCCTTTGACACGTGATTACAAGTCAATTATCAATTAACACTGCTTTCATTTTTAACATTTGTAAACTACACTTTTTGCTGTAATATACAATAGGAAGGCTGATAAATGACCCATTACTGATAAGAAGGGTTGACAGATTAGTCATTGGTAAAATTTGGGAACGTTGCTGATTTTTGTTGTATACTTTGTATGTTGCTACATTTGCTGGCCTATTTCTTTAATTGATAATTGGTTGCTGGCTCAATTGAAGGATTTTTTCTTTTGAAGGGGGGGGGGAAATGGTAACAAAAAGTTTATGATTGTTTGCCAGACTAAGTAATGTTTTAACTATAAGCATTAATTCATCAGTTATGATATAATAAATCTGAAGTTATTTGGTGATGATTATTATGGAATTGCTAGCTGGCTCAAATGTTCAAACCAACGACTTCTTTGCATACATTATTTCTATTTGAAATAAATCATCCTAACTCTTTATCCAAATAATATATCCATTAGTATTTCACTCACTGTAATCTTCTCTACTTCCATTATAAAAGCTTTATTCTCAGTCAAACTGTTTTTAATAGTTATAATAATCTGCTAGACTGATTCATGTAAATGTGCATTTTGACCCTGCAAATTGCAAATCAATATGAAAAATTATAATCCTGACTATTTTTATGTCAGTTCTTCTTCCTTTGTAAATGCCTCTAATTTGTAGCAGGACTTATCATGTCTTGAAATTTCTATGAATTTTTATTAAGTTTTGATGGAGATGTGACAGTAAGTGAAAAACCTAGTAGTAATGTGTAAGTGAATTTTAAAAAAAATAATGCTGATTGTTTCCAGTGAAAAGTATTTAAAAATTAAATCATGGAACATCTTATATGTTATTTCAGTTATTATTTCCTTTTATTGAAATAATTTTTTTTTCTGTATTATTACTTAGGGAAGAAAAATATATTATACAAGCTTCAGAAGATACTATGGAACAATTAAAATCATATCTAAAGGTAAAATTTTTGGGTTTATTCTGTGTGTGTTGGGGGGGGGAGAAATTTTAAGTTTTAAACTTTGATCTTTTAATTTTAAATGTTTGGAAAGCAGAAGTAAGAGTATTATTATCAGTGCTCTTAAGAAAATGACTAAAAAAAGGGGTGCCATTAAAAGAAACAAAGCTGTAAATACAGAGGCTGTTCACACATTTTTTTTTAGACAATGTATATTGTATTCACAAAACTAAATTACATAAAATTCTTGTGTTTTAAATGTTCTATTTGACATCCCTTATTCTGAACTATTTTTTGACACCGCAGTTTCCAGGATAATAATGCCTTTTGAAGTAGCAGAAGAGGTATTCTATCCCATTCCTCCCGAACAGCTTTCCAGAGTCCTGTTAGGGTTTTGGGACAATATTTGGATAATGCAATTTTTAAAAAACCGAAAGCACAAAAATCCATAGGTGACACATCGGGGGATTTAGTAGTGATATCAGTGAAGGGTATGGTCTTGATACCAGTTTTTTGTTCCATTTCTTTTAGGAAATTTACAGTGGATTTTGATGTGTGACTGCTAGCTTTGTCCTGATGGAGTCTCACAGATTGATGGCACTGTGGGTAAAGCAATGGTATTTCATTCAGAAAAATTAGCGATAAAATATGTTCCTGATAGTATTTAGAGTTAATCTTGACATTTTTTTACACTCTCTTTATTTTTAATTTGCCATTATAAGAAAAACCAGCAACAATCATGAATCCCTTAGAAAAACTTTGTTTCGATTCTTTGAACCATGTACTTAAATTTTTTCTCCCCTTTTATGATAATAAATGGCTCTTTTTTCTTTTTTTTTTTGTTGTTACAGTTATTTAAATAGACCCATGCTTCATCTATTGTGACAATTGTTTTCCATTTTTCTTTGCATAAGTGTTCTCATATAGAATTCTGCAGCGTGTCCTGCATTGAGCGATATGCTTTGGAAGAAGACGATGCACATTGCATTTTTACGCTTTCTTAAGATTAATGTTTATCATTTTGTTTACAGTGGACACCGAGCATTTTAATGATTTTGCAACTGTCCTTGGACTAGGGGGATTTTTTTTAACATTAAACAACGTACCTTTGCAATATTCGAAGATGTCCATTTTTTCCTTGGATACTTGTTTGGAATTTTTGTCCCACTTTTTTTTTGAGGCTCCAATTTGACGTTTTTTTCTTTTCTTGTTTATGATATTACCTATCCACGCTTTAGATATTACAAAACCATGACTTTCACATCGTTTTTGGATAACAGAGTGTGCATATTTCTCTTCGGAAAGAGCGTAAATGTAGCCTTCGAACCACTGCTTTGTTAAATTCGCCATTTTGAATAAAAACAAAACTTCAAGCCACAGACGATAATTTTGACTTCTAAAAACATAGTACAATTGCAATAACTTCTTTTGCAGCAAACGATTTTTTATTACCGCTTACCAAAATCATCTAAAAAATGTGCGAACAGCCTATATAATTGTTAATAAAATAAAGTGTATTACTGGATACATTCATCAGATTGTTTGCAGCAAAAAAAAAAAAAAAAAAAAAAAAAAAAAAAAAAAAATGCTTTTAATATCATTCCTGAAATATGTCGAGTGTAAAATTTGTTATGTATGTTAATGTTAGTTAATTAGATACTTCCCTATTAAAGTTGCTGCTGCACTTAATTGGCAAATTTAAGTGCCCAATCTGAACATACATATCTTGCTAAAAACTTAACACAAGTCCTGCTTCAATAAGAAAGTGTCAAAAAATTTTTAGTGTCTACTTTAACTCATTTCGTGTCTACTTTGTTTTGAATTTGAATTTAAACAATAATTTTTCCATACATGCATGTATGCAGACTTGTGTGCTCACAGTTTTTCAAATTCTACTACAGCTAGTTTAAAGCACTATGTTTGGCAGTATTCCGTTTAAACTCTGCCAAGCTTATTTTAAAGAAAATATGCACCCATTTTGAAATATGACTTTAGTGATTTTATGGTAGAACCTATTACTCATTTATTGAATTCATAATTAAATGTGATACGATTTTATGAAGGAAATCCACCCCATCCCTTTTTGTCATCAGAGGTAATGACTGTAGCTCCATATAGCTTTGCTTTTTAATTTGATCACGTGATTCTTTCAATGTAACACTCATTCTGTAAATTGCTTTTAGTGAAGAATATAGAAGTAAAATTTATTAATGTATTTTTGCTTAACTGAAAATTCCAGTACTTATCATCGAAAAATTTTAAATCAGTGGCATTACAGTAAAGACATGAAAGCTGAAACTATTACCAAATAGTATGCATAGGTTTGATTCAAATACCTGCAGATCTGATTTTCCTTGTTATAGAAGTGCACACATTGAGCATGTCATCAATAAACATACATATGTAATTTTTTTTGTCTAATCTTTTGTTCTTCTCTAATTCTTCCTTGAATAAAAAATATTTATAACAACGTAAATTATGTCTGTTGATAAACTTTATTTATATGAGCATATATCTGTGTAAACCTTACATGAAACAAAGTATCTTATTACTGTAGATATGTTTTCAAAACTATTTTATTGCTAAAATTTTACACTAGCTAAAAAGGCTGGTTTAAAATGCATCTTGTTTATTACAAATTGATGTAAATAACAACATGAAGAATGGCATCTTTGTTCATGCTGAACAAAATTTACTTCATTCTGTGATATTTGCATGCCATTCTGCCATTTGTTTTTAAACATGTATTGATCGTAAAACTTTAAAATTATTATTAATAAAATAATGTCCAAATTTAAATGCTTATCATTGTTTCATTTGAAAAGAGTTTGGAATCAAATTTATGTATATAATTCGATTATTATTATATAAATTGAGTAGAATTGTAACACATGTTTTCTCTTTGTGAATAAATTTAAAATGCTGAAAAATAAATAAGTTAAAATTTCATAATTTATTAAACATTTTTTTTTTTTTTTTTGTCTTTAGTAAAGCTTAAACATAAATTATCAAAAATAAATTTTGAAGAATTGTAAAACGGGAGACATTTTTCTGAATTACTTCAAACTGTTTGTTTTCATGCTAAAGCATGTTTTTAATCCATTATGTTAATAAAGTATGCTTCAGAAACGTTTATTATATAACTCAGAATTTATACATCCTTTGAATAAACTTATGATGATTTTTTTTTAATTTAATTTTACATCTTTATAAATGAGAACTCTTTTCAGAATGTAGAAAGTACTGTTTTGCTGCCTATTCTTCATTTCCACTTTTATATTGAGGGTAAGTAATTGTATTTGTCTCTTATTTCCATGTAACTTTTTACTGTGTTATGTTAAAAAAAATCTTGTAATTTTTCACATGCTGTTCAGTATGCATCTTTCTTAAAAAAATTCTTTAGTAGTTTTAGCATAAACGAAATGACTGAGATTCACCTTTTTTTATTGTATTGGGAAGATACAAGTGTATTCCAACTTATTAGTGCACCTTTGCAAGATATCTCTGAAAGTGATCAGTATTTTTGAGAAGTAAATGAAGATCGGTATTGAACATTTTGTCTCTTAAAAAATGATCATCTTCATAGATCAAAATCATCAGAAATCATGGAGGGTCATCTAATAGAGGGTTCACTGTAGTTTTGGTAGCATGGATATAATATATTGTAACAAATTTAAGCCAGAAAATTTTATATGATAGTGATTTTATTCTTAAAGCAAAAATTTTTAATCCAATATGTAATGAGATCCTTCCAGGGGCAACAGATAAGAACACTGAATATTAGCAGCTCAACCCAGATTCATATCATGGAAAATGAGCTGATTGTATAGGTGTTTTATTTATTTATTTTTTGTCATGTGTGACAGGAATAGGACTGAATTTCTCTTAGAATGTACTGGGTTCATATCATAGCAAGTGAGCTGATTGCATGAACTTTTCATGATTTTCCTAGCATGTGACATGAACATGAATGAATTTACTTTAGAATGCCCTTCACGAAGACATCTTTCCTCTTAGACAGATATCTCTTATATGCTTTGCCTTACTCAACTAACTTAAGCAATGATATATCCTATGTATTGTTTGACAGCAACTTTAATAGATGAATTGCTCATGTTTTGTGTGTGAAATTGCTTTATTTTTTTTACAGCTATTGGGGAAATATTTAGCGTTTTTAAGGAATTTATCACATGATGCACAGTATATATCATAGTGTTGAAATAGTTTAACAGTTCTTGTTTATGCCACCAGCAGGCATAGTCTATACCAAGTAAAATAAATGAAAGAAATTAATTTTCATGTATGTAAACCTTAATAAGTATTCTTATTCTAATTTTACTATGTTAAAATTGAATGAAATTTTTATTTATGTTAAAAAAAATTCACTTTTTTTTCAGTTTATTTTAACAATATAGTGCATAGCTTCTGACAAAATATGCAATGTTTCCTCTTTGGTACTATTTAAACCAAAGAAAATAATAAAAAATACATGAATGAATTAACTGCAAACTTGCATTTATTTGGCTAGATGGGAAACCAAGTGATACTGTTAATTAGGGTTTTGGATGTATGGTTAATTAGAATTTAACCCTTGATAATAGATAATTAGAATTTGGATAACTAATTGGGTAATTAGAATTTTATTGTGTTTTTAATTTTTCAGCAGTTTTTCACAGTCATTCATAAAAAAAGTTTATGCTTTATAAAGAAAATGTTTTGACCATAAGTGCCTTGCTATTATTTCATATACTTTTATAAATCATTGTAGGAGACAATGAACCTCAAGATCTTGAATATGTTACTGAAACTATAAAAGATTCAGTGCCAGTGGAAGTAGAACAATCACGAAATGAAAAATTATCTGCATTGAAAAACATAATAAAAAAGGTAACAGAAGGTCCATTAAGTCTTCCCACATCGTATGCTTATACAATTGAATGTGGTGCAAAAAAGTAAGTTTAATGAAATGACATTTAATGCATGTCTCTCAGAAAATTATTGAAAATGTGTAAAACATATGGTTTCACTAGTTTCTACTTGCTTGAATTATTTCGTAGGAATTCGTAGGAGAATTTAGTTCAATTAAGCTTGAGGACTATCAAGATTCTGAAACTAATTTTACTATTAATTTTAAGGAATTGGATTATTTAATTATAGCAGAGCACCCAAGGGCTTTCTGCTTGCAATCCAACCCAGTTTTAATCAAGGACACTCCAAGGTTGAAATATGCTAGTTTTGTGTCCTTTTTTCTCTCTTGCTTTCAGAGGAATAGATTTCATGGAATATAATTTGTCTTTTATTTATGTAGTGGCAACACATTGTATTTTATTTGCTCAGTTCCTTAATTTATAATGACTGATTAAAAGATAAAGATTTATTAAATTTGAAAGGTAAAGTAAAAGGTTCTTTGCCAAATGGCAATGCTTTGAAAATCTGCCATCTAATTTCATAGAAAATGAATTAAATGTCTTGCATTTTGTGCACTTGCAGCACATGCCAACAGCTGTTCTGGATACTTTATGCTCATCCATTCAGTATTTTTAAGTCAAGATTTTGTATGTTACGTGAAAACAGTACACCAACTACATCTGTTCTTGTTGCCATTGTGTTTTCCCCTACAATTGCCTTATTACTGGTGTTATATAAATTTTAAATAGGCAGTTTTCTAGCTAATCTGTTTAATCAGAATTAAGATTATTTTTCCATTAATTTGGTGATTTTATGCTAGATTCTGTCAAACTTTCATGATTTATAAGAATAGAATCATGGAACAATGTGCAAAGCTGATATTGATGTTAAATTTACTTTGATTTTTGTAATGATTTATTTTTAGTGCAAACATGAACAATATTGACTATATTGAAATATGATGTATATTTTTTGTAAGTCCTATTGATTCTTTATTTTAGTCTTTCTGCAATTGATGTGAATTCTCAGAACTCACTTTTTGCTTGTGCATTTGAAGATGCAAAAATTCATATTCTGAGTTTAACCTCTGACTTGTTGGAATCTGAAGAAGCTACAGATGATGTTTCAAACATTCAGTTAGCATTTAATAAAATTAACAGGAATATTAAAAGTGAAACTGAAAATGGAAGAAATAGAAAACCAAGGTAATTAAATAGTTCATATTGGTGAAAAACTGTTGCATATATTTTGATGGATATATTGCAAAAATTTTATTAATAAATTGTATCCTCTTTTTTATTTTTATTTATTTTTTTAAATACATTTTAACCTTCATAACACCTTTACTTTACTTTTTATGTTTAGTTATAATAAAGTACTTCGAGGTCATGTTGAATCAGTCTGTGGTTTATCATTTACTCCTGATCATGACTTATTAGTTTCTTGTTCTGAAGATTGTACTAGTAAGCATAATTTTTAATAATAATCTAACTTCACTTTTAGCTTTGTTCTCATTTCATTTAAGCTTATTGCCTATGTTTCTAAAGCAAATAAGAGTTACTATTTGCATCAAAATGTAAATGAACTAATATTAAATACAGAATGCATGCAGAAATGTTTTTTTTTTTTTTTTTTTTTTTTTTTTTCCAATTTTTATACATGTTTTTCATTTTTCTAGTTAGAGCTTGGAATATGAAGACCTTCAAAAATGTGGCTTTGTATTATGGACATAGCTCAGCTATTTGGGATCTAGACATAAGGTGTGGCATTTCTGTGGAAAAAAAAGAATATGGCAGTATTTATAGCATGTTTATAAAATCATACCATTAGCAAACAAGTTTTATTTATTATTTTCTAGGTTAAACATTAGTTAAAATAATGAATTTTTTCTATCAATATTTAAATATAATTTCTATCACATTATGGTCTGCTACACCATTCCCTTTTTTTAGGTTGTTGAAAGCTATCATTACACATCATAATATATTGCTAGGGGAGTTGCTTATGGCACCATAGATATAGTCCTTCAGTTCCAATACAGTAGTACAGTGTGTTTATAAAACATCTTGCTAAGGATACTTCTCTAAAGATTCACATAATCATTGTTCTTGAAACTATAGAGTACTAGAGTTGGAATTTTTGAAATAAATTTAAACAGTGAAAGTATGATGCTCAGTTTCCGAGCTTTATGTGTTAAATGGAGGGGAGGGACAGCTTATTAAGAAAAGAATTGTGATGCTGCATCATGACATTATAGTAGTTTATAAATCAAAATATGTTATGAATGCAGTCACATCCTATATTTATAAATAAAAATAAATAGGATAGAAAATAACTTCATAGTTTTTGCTTGTATATTTAGAATACAGAAATTTAGGGTAAAACACTAAAGTAATACAGTAGAAAGTCCAAGATCTGAACTCGACAGGGCTTTGGCGTTTTCAAATTTGAAATTTTTCTGCATATTAGATCATCAGTTTAAATCTATAAGATGTCATATAGAAATTATAAAATTAAAAATATGCAATTGTTATTTATGAAATAATGAAGCAATTATGATCTAAAAGGTATCAAAATTTACAAAAAAAAAAAAAAAAAAAAAAAAAAAAAAAAGCTTAATATTTATCTGCCTATTTTATTAAACATGTCTTTCAATGTAATTGATTGATGATCGGAGCATTGTCATTGCAATAAAAAACTTCTGCTATATCATCTTCATTTATTACTGCTTCTCCACATTTCTTAACAAAATCCATTAATTGGAAAATTTCACCTTTGGTTACGATATCTTTTTGAAATTTTTCTGAGTGTAATGTTATCCCCTTAAAACAATTTACAGAATTTTTACTTAATGAGAGATATTTATTCTGAAATTCATTCTGTTTAGAAGAATACTCTATTAATGCATTATACTATGATAGTAGATTATTAGGATTTTATTATATATGTATGTAGAAATGAAACAATATAATTTTAAATATTAATCTTATTTGCAGTTCACAGACAACATATTTTGCCACGGCTTCAAAAGACTGTACTGCTCGGCTATGGGAATTTTCTCACTCCTCTCCTCTGCGGATTTTTGCTGGACATTCTGCAGCTGTTGATGTACAGTATTATATCTGATTTTTTAACTTTAATTTTATGTAAGAAAATGCAGAGGTTTAATATTAAAAAAATATCTTTTAGGTTATTAGATTTCATCCAAATAATAATTACATAGCTACTGGTTCCTCAGATAAGACCATTCGACTTTGGACTACACAAGATGCACGTGCTGTTAGATGTTTTGTTGGCCATAATACATATATAAGTTCTATGGCCTTTTCTTTGAATGGACAAAACTTAGCAACGTCTGGTACTAATATTTTATTATTATTTTGAAGCATTTTATTCAGTTAATATATTTTAATTTGTTAAAAATATTTACAGAAAATAAGTATAATATTTTGAAATAAAGGGAATGAGCCGCAAAGTGAAAAATATTTTTCTTATTTTTTCTTATTATATTTCTTAAATAGCTTCGGAATTTCTGCATACATCTTAAAACATATTTTGTTTCTTATTTTCAGATTTGTAGTTCTGTGTGTTTAGCTTAGATGGCTTAGATGGCTAAATACTATCTTGTTGCTTAGTTTAATTAAATGTTTTACTTTGGCATGTTTCTCTTCTCCCTTAGATTTTTAATTGGGACAAAAAGGTACACTGCACAAAAAAAAGGGGGGACAGTTCTATATCTCCCGTTCTACTGGGCCGATTGACGAAATTCAAGTTGCATTTTTCATGTCTCAAAAGCGCAACTTGCAATATGTAATAGATTTATATATAGCATTGTTCTAACATAGGTATTTTGACACAAAATCAGACGTTTTCTGAAATAACATACCAGTTTATTTCCATATTTCAATTCTACGACTCAAATTTTGCCAAACTACCAAGTTTTATAAAAATCGTACAAGTAGTTTTTAAAAAATTAGCTTTCAAAATTTTAGCTCCTCAATGTTAATTGAGTTGGTATATATTTATTAATCTCTCTTTTTTTATTAAACTTATTTGATTCTTCCTTTCACATTTCGAAATTTAGATTCATTCCAAATAAAATTTACTCATTTTTTTATGATTTATTTTTAAAATTTGTATTTTTAAATAATTTTTATAAATTTTTCAAAAACATTTTTGAATTACAATCTGTAAAATTTTTACCATCCTCTTAAAGAAAATGTGTTTCTAAGCATACATCCAAAAAATTACAGTTTTTTATTCAAAATTTCTTAAGATATACGTGAATTTATATATTGGCATGTTTTAAAATTTGGCATATTTGTTGAAAGTAATAAAACGTCAAATGTGGTTTAGACACTTTGCTAAAATTATTTGTAGCAGAAGCGCAGTGACATTTTTTCCACTTATGCACAATGTAAAAAGCTAGGAATGAGGTGCTTTTTTTTCGTTCCAGCATAATGGAAGGGAAAGGAAAATTGGTTGCCACATATTAAGAGGTTCGCCAAATGAATTATTCTTCGCGCAAATTGAAACAATTATGCCAAGATAAATTTTTCGAATTGTCTGTAAATTTTGCACCAAATTTTACAAAATTTAATATCTAGGCATAATTTGAGTCGTAGAATCAAAATATGGAAAAAAATTGGTATGTTATTTCAGAAAATATCCGATTCTGTGTCAAAATACCTATGTTAGAACAATGCTGTATATAAATCTCCTAAGTCATATATCCTAAGTCGCAGTTTCAAGACATGAAAATGCAATTTAAATTTTGTCAATCAGCCCAATAGAACGGGAGCTATAGAACTGCCCCCCCTTCTTTTAGCAGTGTACATATTATTATGTACACTGCTAAAAAGTCAGTGTCTGACATCAACAAAAATTGGATATTAATAATATAAATAATGCACTTCAGCTACCACAAGTGAAAATATAAACTATAATAATATTGGCTGCCATGTATTTAGTGAAGCCACTCCAACAATTGGACATTGACAAAATTAATTTTCAGGTATGCTCAAGGGGTATTTCATGGTATCAAACTAGAATAAATGCTTCTCTTAGCTGCCTCAGTGATGTTAATGTCCTGCACCCATTTTTTACTTCCTTGTACGAAGTAAAAAGGAAGTATTGTAATCGCGAAAAGTTTCAGGCAGCATATTTCAACGAAAATATCCCATTTTGACCTCTTTCAAATGCAATTTAACGATGTATTTCCGTGATATCTGTATGTAAGGACAGAATAAAACACTCTTTTCCTCCAAAAAAATTATAAAACTGCTTTAAAATGAATTCTGAAGAGAATTTTTCGTGTCGTCTGTACAAACGTACGTACGTACGTGTCTCCCATAACTCAAAAATGAGTAGCCTCAGAACGTTGAAATTTTGTATATAGGAGTGCTATAACATGTAGATGTGCACCTCATATTTTGGTTGCAATCGGCCACGCACCAAAAGTTATATATAAATATATTATATATATATATACACCCACTCTGTTACCTCGGCTCAGTGATCTCAGTTTCTTTACTCTTATATGTTTGTAAATTGTACATTTTTTGCTTTAAAATGATTGAATTATGTTGTCCTTATCTTCCGGTTAAGGTTTTTATGCCTTTAGTAAATCTGTATGCAATATGTTTAGAATTATCAACAATTTTAAAATTGTTTAAGTGCCGCTAAGCCTAATAATGCTTTTGATGGCGGCCATTGCTCTTGTTTACATTTGAAACAGCAGGATAGCAGATTTGTTGCCAATCTAGAGAAACTTAGCTTCGCAACAACAAAGATAACGCCTTCATTTATTATTAAATCATTGCTTAATCCTTTCTGGAATTTTTTCGAGGAAATAAGCGTTTAAGAAATATGTAATTTTCGTAATTTTAATACAGATATTTGAGTTTTATGTATTTTTGCCTTGTCGCAAAGTGAAAACTGAATTAATTGAATGAGAAATACTCAATCGTCTGTGAAAAACTGTTTCTTTTTTGTTTTGTTTGCATAATTTTTTTATACATAGTTCTAGCTTTATTATAGTATTTGAATAGAACATGTGGCAACGTCATGTCATCAAACAAGAACATCAAACAAGAGCTTCAATGGTCTGTTTCGGCGAAATGCGTAATGGTATTTAGCCTAGTTCGACATTCAATTATTTTTCCTTTGAAAAGCCTAGTTGAGGGTCCGATTGTGCTAATTTACCATTTTCCGCTTTGTAATTTTTATAATTTTTGTAATTTTGCAATTTATGTTTTAATTATAATTTTTGCAATTTATGTTTTAATCAATTTTATTTTGTTTTAACTTGTTCCGTCAATCTATTTTTATATGTATTAACTTTTCACATGTCACAACGATCAGATTAGTTTTTTCGTGCATTCACAAGTTTTCCAACATTGATTTTAAAGTTTTATTTCGCGTGTAAGCAGTTTTTTCTTTTTTCTGTGTTAATAATTTTTTCAAAAAATTTCTTCTATGTTAATATTTTAGTAATACTGTGTTGAACTATTTCATGGAGCTACAGCTCCTGGTAACTTTTTAGCAAACTCGCTACAATGTTTCTTCCTATTATATATATATATATATATTTGAGAAATTGGTTGTTTTACTTTAGACACATCACAGTCAAGGCTAAGCTATCCATCGCTTAGTCCATTTCACATATTGTTTATGGCACTTTAGGTATTTGGATCTCATTTTTGCAGTAAGTAGAAGCTTCGGTCTATTTACTGCAGTATACCATGAGTTGTTTGATTTCAAAAGTTGGTATCAAATATCCATAAATAATACTACTGCTTACATTCACTCCACACTACGATTTCCTTGCAGCTCTAAGATCTATTGAAATTGCTTTTCTGTGCAAAAAGGCAAACAAGAGAACCTCTCCTGTGCTAAAATAGACTTCTTTCGATAACTGCTTCTGGCCGTCATGTTTACTGAGCCAATAAAATTTTGTGAGCAAGCAAGACACATTGGATAGATTGCCATTGATCCTTTTGGATATCACATGTGTAGAAAAACCTTTGGCAAAAGATGTGAGAACAATGCTTTTCTTGTGCAAAATTAGCTGCGTTGAATAAGCAGCATATCTTTAGAATTTCCATTAGACAGTCTTGCACATTAGAGATAAAAATAGCTTATTGCATGCAGTGTGTTGCCACTGCTCACTTTGAAATTGTGTTTTTTAATCAAAAATTTAAAAGTTTTACAAAAATTAACTAGACAATAAAACAAATTTGAAATTCTATATTCGGGTTTCCAGTTGCCCATGTTCAGGTGCAGGACTATGTTTTTCAAAATTTGATGTCTCTAGATACTACTGTTTTTAACAGTGTAAGAAACATACATTCGTTCATGTATTTAGTTTCTTTAAATATAATACAGGGCGATAATATTTGGTGGCAACAATTTGAAAAGTGATTCAATGCAAAAGCTGTTTTGAGACTAATAGCCCTTCTGGGTTAACCGAAAAAAAAAAAATTACTTAATTTGCAACCAACTTGTTTGAGAAAAGGAGAAGTTTCTAGCAGGAAGTGAGGTTATGCTTTTCGTCTTTAGAGAATAGTCATGCTACTGTGTGAGACCATAAAAAAGGAATACTATATGAGCTACTACTTGACTACTATATGAGACAAATTTAGGGAAGAATTAAAATTGTTTTGTATAGTAATGCCAATAGATTTTTTTTAATATTTTCATAAAAATGATGGCTGTTATGTTTTTCAAGATATTTCTGAATGCATCTCTTTCCATGCATATTATGTATATGTGCACATTAATGGATGAACATAAACGATCAGATGCTTAAATTCTTGTGAAGGAATTAGAAGCATCCTCTGTTTAAAAACAATTTAACTAAAAAAAAAGGTAAAAAGATTAGCATTTTTTTAAATATAAGTATTGTATTTTATATATTTTGAAAGATACCAAAAATTCACTAATGTACAGATTATTTATACCTGTATTTACAAATGTTAAGAATATAACTTTTAGAATTTAATCATTGGCAAGGATAAAAGCTTTCTAGCTGTTGTTATTGTAACAGAAAAATATACTTAAAAAATTTTAAAAAATAAATAAATAAAATTAAAAAAATTCTGCATGTATTTGGAAAAATTTATTTACTTGAATAATCAGTTTCTGTAAAAATATTGAATGCTATTATTTTATTTAACTCTAAAATAACCTCAAAAGCAATATTTTTATCTTTGCAAATGTGCAAAATGTATTATTACTTAGTTACTAGGTAATTATAATTACACTGTTGATGTATTATTTTTATATATAAGATATTGTGTAGTACAATTGCAGCCTGTTTCTCTGAATTAATTTAAGCTATGACATTTCAGTTAAATA